GGGATGAGAAAGGCTTCGCGGCCCCGCTTGTGCCGGGATATCCCGGTGGGAAGCGCGCTGCAGCGCATCCCTGCCATGTCCCCATCGCTGGCATCAGCCCAGCGCAGCAGCCCTGGGGATTTTCCACTGGGATCGGACTCATCCCAGGGTCTGTGAGCAGGGAATCGCCCCCCCCCCCCCCCCCCCCCCGGCACCCCCTTGGAGCCGGGATCCCCTTGGAGCCGGGATCCCCTTCCAGCCGTTCCCCCTCCGCTTCCCACCCGAAGCAGGAGCGTCGCAGGTTCCTGCAGCACCGAGGGTCCAGGGCAGACCGGGGGTGTTCCCATGGGATGCGGTGATGGGCAGGGCTGCGGCTGAGTCATGGAGCAGGAATCCCGCTGGGCGAGGGCAGGGCTGGTGACTCACGGGCTGGTGATGGGGCTGAGCGGGGTTAGGCTGCACCCACTGCTCACACGGGAACCCATGGATTAGGGATAGACCCTCAGGGTGAGGGGCAGGCAGCTCCCAGCTCCCTATTCCTGGCTGCAGACTGGCATGGAAACAGTTCAGGATGTGCCCCCCCCCTCCCACCCCGCTTTCCTTGTGCAGGATGCAGGAATCCTGGCTGCGACCTGAGCAGCCTCTGTGTCCATGCTGGGTGATGTTGGGTGAGGGACCCAACCCTTTGGAGCAAGCAGGAGGGGATGTGTGGGTCAGGGACAGGGTTGCATGGGCACGGGGTGCGCTGTGTGCCTGGCTCATCCCATCTCTCCCCACCGCTGTGGAAGGGCTGGGGGCAAGGAAGGGCTCTGATCCTGAAACTGATCCCCCCCCCCCCCATTTGCCAAACCCACACATTGAGGTTGATGCCATGGCCAGGGAGCACCATCCGTGACTCCTCCGATGCCCTGTGCCAGGAACAAGTGGATGAAGGACCTGGAGGACAAGGAAAACACGATGGACATCAATGGGCTGCTTTATCATGCTCTGCATTGACTTCTACACTGAAGCCAGGCATCATTGAGCCCTATGGCTTGAATAAAACCATTGTCACCTCCCCAAACCCTTGTGGAACGCATTAAGTTGCATTGGGTGTGTGTGTGTAGGGGGTGTGCTTGGGACCATCTGTCTTGAAAAGGGACCCCTTGGTGTGGGGGACAGTGCAGTGATCCATGGAATGGTTTGGGTTGGAAGGGAGCTTGAAGCTCATCCGGTTTCAACCCCGTGGAAGGGAACCCTTCCTCTAGAGCAGCTTGCTCCAAGCCCCATCCAACCTGGCCTTGAACAGTGCCAGGGATGGGGCACCCACAGCTTCTCCCTTCAACCCATTCCAGTGTCCCACCACCCTCCCAGGGAAGAACTTCCTTATATCCAGCCTGAACACCCCCTGTTCCCCCTTGTCCCATCACTACAAGGGAGGAGATGGGCTGAGGAGCCCCTAGGGATGCCCCATCCCTTTGCTCGCGCCTCCATCCCCAGCCTCCCCCAGCAGCACCCAAACCCATCCACCTCTTCCTAATGGGATCACTCGGCTCGGTAGGCAAAAATGAGGTGTGGATGAAAGCACCTGCATGGAACAGCCTGGAGGCAAGAGAGCTCCATGGGCTGTGCCACCAGAGCTGGGCTATAAATGCCCATCAAGCCCCGGCGGCAGCATCCTGACTCCTCACTGCTGCCTGGTCCCTGGTGAGTCCCTGCTCCCCTTCTTCCATCACCCCTTGTCGCTGCCCCTCTGCAGCATCCTCACTCCTCACTGCTGCCTGGTCCCTGGTGAGTCCCTGCTCCCCTTCTTCCATCACCCCTTGTCTCTGCCCCTCTGCAGCATCCTCACTCCTCACTGCTGCCTGGTCCCTGGTGAGTCCCTGCTCCCCTTCCTCTTCCATCACCCCTTGTCGCTGCCCCTCTGCAGCATCCTCACTCCTCACTGCTGCCTGGTCCCTGGTGAGTCCCTGCTCCCCTTCTTCCATCACCCCTTGTCTCTGCCCCTCTGCAGCATCCTCACTCCTCACTGCTGCCTGGTCCCTGGTGAGTCCCTGCTCCCCTTCTTCCATCACCCCTTGTCTCTGCCCCTCTGCAGCATCCTCACTCCTCACTGCTGCCTGGTCCCTGGTGAGTCCCTGCTCCCTCTTCCATCGCCCCTTGTCTCTGCCCCTCTGCAGCATCCTCACTCCTCACTGCTGCCTGGTCCCTGGTGAGTCCCTGCTCCCCTTCTTCCATCACCCCTTGTCGCTGCCCCTCTGCAGCATCCTGGCTTAGGCACCATTCGCATCAGGGTGCTGGGAATTGGACCCGTCCCCATCCTGACCCCGTCCCCGGTGCTGTGCCCTGCAGGCACACGGCAGGCTGGCGATGGCGTGTCCCCTGGAGCAGGCGCTGGCCGTGATGGTCACCACCTTCCACAAGTACTCGGGCAAGGAAGGGGACAAGTACAAGCTCAGCAAGCAGGAGCTCAAGGAGCTGCTCAACAAGGAGCTGCCCGTCTTTGGGAGCGTAAGTGTGGGGACGCACCCCTTGGCTCTAGGGGCTGTAGGGGAGGGAGCAAACCAGCCTTGGGTCTTTCCATGGATCACACTGATCTGTGCATCCCTGCCCAAGGGATGCAGCCCATGTGGAGCCATGGAATGGTTTGGATGGGAAGAGCTCTTAAAGCTTCCTCTAGAGCAGGTTGATCCAAGCCCTGGCCAACCTGGCCTTGAACGCTGCCAGGGATGGGGCAGCTTCTCCATCATCCCATTCCAGCTCCCCATCACCCTCATAGGGAAGGACTGCCTCAGATCCCATCTTAACCTCCCCTCTGTTTAAAGCCATTCCCCTTGTCCTGTCCCGTCCCTGTGTGCCACAAAAGGCAGGATGAAGCCGGGAGGACCTGAGCTGGAACATACTTGGACCCGAAGGAAACTTGGCTTTCTAGTGCTCACACCAATATTTTGCTTGGCAAGGAGAAGCCTGCTCCAATTTCACTGTTTTATATTGGGCTTAACCCTTAATTCCCTTTAAAATGGGAGGTGAGATGTTTTAGCCCAGCTCCTTCATGCCCAAGAGGCGCATTTGCTGTACCCGTGCCTGCACACCCCACATCTCAGTATCCACCTGCATCCCTAAAGGCCCTTTCCTTCTCCTTGAACCCATAGGGATGGAAGCCAAGGCTTTCACACCCATCCTTGTGAGCAGCGGGGCCGGATGGGGAGCACCTCACTCATCCATGCACCCCAAAACCCCACTTTCCCCCCCTCCTATAGAAGCAAATGGATGATGCCGAGTTCAAGAGGCTCATGAACGACCTGGACCACGACAAGGACAGCGAGGTGGACTTCAAGGAGTACGTCTGCTTCCTGGCCTGCATCACCATGGGCTTCAACGAGTTCTTCAGGGATTGCCCCACCAAGCAGCACCGCAAGAAGTGATCCCATCGGGGCTTCCAATAAAGGCTTTCCCAAAGGCTGGCGTTGTGCTTGGGGTGACTCACATCTTCCTCCTGCTCCTTGGGGTTTTCCATGGAAGCATCCTTTGGAAAAGCCAGCCCTGGCTGCAGGCAATGGATTGGGATATCCCCCCCCGCACCATCCCTGCTGGCTTGGGGGGAGGTTTAATGCATGTTGGGGTCAAACCCGAGCTTCCCTGAGCCTGGCTTGGCTTAAAGCTCAGCACAAGCTCCCATTGGGTTTGGGGAGGGGAAGCCGGGCTGGAGGAACCACAGCAAGATGCAAGGGCCATGCAAAGCATAGAAGCCGGAGCGCATCCTGCAGGGAAAAGCTAAAGGAGACCCTCGGGGTATGGATAAACCCATGGGGATCACCCTGAGCCCCCCAGGTTTACCATGGGGCCGTGGTGAGCACATCAGGCTATGCCAGCGCTTGCGGAGCTCGGGTTTTGCCCCGCTTCCACCCATGGCCACAGCAGACGATGCTGCAGCCCCGCACCAGCCTGCCCCCATAGCCCCAAAGGAACCATCCTAGATCCAAAGAGCTTTCATCAACCCCCTACAGCATCGCATGGTAAAGAAGACCCCAAAGTCCTCCCTGAGCCCCAAACTTCACTTTGCCCCTTCCCAGGGTCTTTATAAAGAGCCCCTTGCAGTGATTTACACCACTTTGCACTGGTTAATAGAGGGATGGGGGTCAGGTTTGTGCCTTTCTCTTGCCCATATGGTCCTTAAAGAGCCCCCTGACCTGGGGAAGCTTCATCCCCTGTTTTCCCTCACCCTTCTAAAGCCTCATTTCCAGGCTCCAAAAGTTCAGCTTTAGCTCACAAAGTTTCCTTTTCCCATTCAAGTCCTTCAGTTTTAGGCTCTGGCTTAAGGTTTTCAGGCTCCAAGCAGTTTCTTGAGTGTCCAAACCCTCTTTTGGAGGCTCCAAGCCCCTCTTAAAGGGCTCAGAGCCCCCTGTTACCCACTGCTCTTTATCCCGGGGGGGGGGGGGGGGGGGGTCAGGGACACTTTGGGTGTTTATCAGGGGATTCCAGGCTCCCAGCTCCTGCTTTCCCCTTGCCACGTGCCCAGGGCACGCAGTCAGCAGCATCATTCCCCGTTACACAACGGGGCTCTTGTGACTCATGGCCCTTGCGCTTAGGAAACAGAAACTGAGTTAAAAACAGAACAACTCCCCCCCCATTCCCAACCCGAACTCCAGCACAACAACAAACCCATGGATAAATCCTGCTCGGCTCCAGACATCCCTGGGGATGCTGCCAAAACCATCTTGCCCTGCACTGCATCCCCTGCCCTCGCTGGCAAGGGTGGGATGAGGTGCCCCCCACTCCCTTGACTTCATCCCTTATCCATAGGGATTCTCCTCCGCCCCATCCAGCCCCACTGTGCTCTTTCCATCTCCTCAGCAGTGCAGGAACGGGATGGTCTGGGGGGGTCAGGGCTGCTCCTATGGTTTTTCCTCTCCTCCCTTGCCAGCCAATGTCCAGGCAGGCTCTGGATCAGCATTGGTGCCTTCCCAACCGGATAGCGAGGGAGGTGTCCCAGGCAGGGCTATAAATGCTGCCTCATCCTGCCCTTCCCATCCTTGGCTGTTCCTTTGAGCTGTTGGTGAGTTGCTTTTCCCCACTTTTCCCCCTTTATCCCACTCTCCAGATATTGCTAAAGGTGCATCTGCCCCATCCCACAATGGGGTCCTCCTATAGAGGTTTTCCCCCTGGGGCTTCTCCTGCAAGGAGCTGAGTTTGGAGGCTGGGAAAGCTGCTTCCCCCCATGTTCTCCCCTTTAATATGGCTTTTTTGGGGGTACCCAATGTGGGAGGGTGAAGCTAATGGGGAAGTGGTGATGCAGGAGTGGGGCATCGAAGAGCCTGCAGTGTCTGTGGGGCATGGGGGTGCATGGGGATGCTGCTCTCTGTTCTCACCCACTGGTGCTGTTGGTGCCTCCAGGCTTGCTGCTCTTCCCCATGGCATCTCCCCTGGAGCAGGCGCTGGCCGTGATGGTCTCCACCTTCCACAAGTACTCAGGCAACGAGGGGGACAAGTACAAGCTCAGCAAGCAGGAGCTCAAAGAGATGCTCACCAAGGAGCTGCCCAGCTTCAGCGTAAGCACGGGACAGGGGGTACCACATCCCACTGTGGACGCCGGGATGCGGGGATGCGGCCAGATGGGATGCAAACCCCCATTTAACCCCCTTTGCTTGCAGAGACAAACCAGTGAGGCCAGTTTACAGCAGCTCATGAGCCATCTGGACAGCAACAGCGACAGCGAGGTGGACTTCCAGGAGTACGTGATCTTCTTGGCCTGCATGGCCATGATGTGCAATGACTTCTTCCAGGACTGCCCTGATAAGATGCCGCGTAGGAAGTGAGCAGGGACCCTCCCGTTGTCTTCCTGATGCTCTTGTAATAAAGGATGCTTTCAACCCAATGCTTTTGCCTGCTTTGCAATGGGGGGGTTATTGCCTCAGGGACACTGGAGAAAATCCCGGTTTCCTTGGTTTCCTTTCCGTGTGAGCATTCCAAGTTCTGCTTGGGAACAAGGAGTCTGGGCTCTGCGTTCCCTGAGCCCTTGTAAAGCACCCGTTAGGGTGAGTCACTGCCCTGCAGCCCTGATAACCCCTTCGTGGCCAGGCAAGGCAGGAGCTTCCCAAGGGATTAACGGGTGGATAACTCCTTGTTTCAGCCGTAATCACATGGAATCAGCATCTGTCCCCATGGGGCAGGACCTGCCATGCTGGGAATCAGTTTGTCCCCCGTGTGAATCCTCCTGGAGCAGGGTTTCCCTGCATTCCTGCTCGGGGTGGGGCTTTGACGTGCAGAGCAGTGACTTCCCCATGCACCCAACCAGCCCTGCGGGTACGACTCAGCCCATGGCTATAGACGCAAGGAGCAGCACAGCCACAGCCCCCCCCCCCCTTCCTGCTCATGTCTTTAAGTCCCGATTTCCTCCTTCTGAGCTCCGTTTCCCCCACTGAGCAGCTGAGGACAACCTCGTGTGCTGAGTCCAGATGTGCAGCTGGATGCCCCCTTCCAGATGTGCAGCCAGATGCCCCCTTCCAGATGTGCAGCCGGATGCCCCCTTCCAGATGTGCAGCCGGATGCCCCCTTCCAGATGTGCAGCCGGATGCCCCCTTCCAGATGCGCAGCTGGATGCCCCCTTCCAGATGTGCAGCCGGATGCCCCCTTCCAGATGTGCAGCCGGATGCCCCCTTCCAGATGTGCAGCCGGATGCCCCCTTCCAGATGTGCAGCTGGATGCCCCCTTCCAGATGTGCAGCCGGATGCCCCCTTCCAGATGTGCAGCTGGGTGTCCATCACTGGCACCTTCATCCCTCTGCTCCCAGAGGCACTGGTGAATGGAGATGCCACAAAGGCTTCACCCCCTTGCCCCCATCACATCAGCCCTGGGGCTGTGTGTGGAGGCAGACAGGAGCCACGTCTGGGATGTGCCCCATGAGTCAACCTGCAGGCGCCAGCCCCAGCTTGCTCCAACATCCCAGTGCAGCACTATGGGGGGATGTGGGGCAACCTCTTATCTGCTTGGGGCCAGACCCATTGAGCTGGCTCTGAAGGGGCTTTGCCCAGGCACCAGGGCAAGGTAAAGGGCTGCAGAGCATCCTCCTGCGTGGAGGGGGAGCAATGCCCCCCACATCCCTGTGCTGCCCACAGCTGTGGCTTGGGATGGACCTGGGCCATAACAATGACAAGGAAGTGAAGTTCTAGCAGGGCTTCACCTTCCTGGGTGCCCTGGCCATGAACTGCAGTGATGCACTGAAGGAATGCAGATATAGGTCTGGGCAAGTGGCAGGGTGAGGAGGGGCCCTGGGGGCCTTTTGGGGTCAAGGACCTTTGTAAAGTTTTTTGTCCTTTCCTATTACAAAGCTTTGTTGCTGTGTTCCTGGTCATTTGTGAACCACAAATAGGTTAAACCCTCATGGGCTGCACTGCTCTTGCCCTTGCTGGGGGGGTGCTCATGTCCCCACTGATGGATCCTGTTGGGTGCTGGTGATGTTCTTGCCCAGGACTCCCACCCAGGCCCTGCACCCTCATCTTTACAAGGGCTGGTTTGCCAGGAGACCGGGGTTGAATTCATCCCATTGCTCCCCCAGATGGAGGGCGAAGGGGCTGTTCTATGAACCTCAGATTCTGAGATCCAGTGCTCACCCGAGCATGGATACTAGGGAATAAACCACACATCCATCCCTCCAGCTCACTGGGACACCCGAGGATGGGGCTGCACTGCACTGGTGAAAGGGACCCCCCCCCCCCCCCCCCACAAGCCCTTGGCTCTTTTCTGCCTGACCTGTGACTGTCTGAAGCTCTGCTCACAGCATCCATCCTGCCTGCATCCATCCGCACCCTGTCACCGCCCTGCTGCTCTGCCCTCGGGGCTGTGCTGGCTCCCTCCCTGTGGCACCGACATCCCAGCCCCATGGGCACTGAGCCATGGAGCAGATACCAACACCCAGAGCACCGGAGCGTGGGCCCCAGGGCAGGGCATGTGCCGGGAGCAATTGGTGTGTGGGTAGAACAATGGATCCATACAATGGGTTGGGTTGAAGGGAGATTTAAGCTCATCCAGTTCCAACCCCCTTGAACACTGCCAGGGATGGGGCATCCAAACCTTCTCCATTCAACCCATCCCGGTGTCCCACCACCCTCCCAGGGAAGAGCTTCTGCCTAAGATCCCATCTCAGTCTCCCCTCTGGCAGGTTAAAGCCATTCCCCTTGTCCTGTCCCTGCATCCCTTGTCCAAAGCCCCTCTCCAGGGTTCCTGCAGCCCCTTTAGGCACTGGAGCTGCTCTAAGCATTCCCTTAAGAGGCTTCCATGGCAGGTCGGGCAGCAATGGCAGCATGAGGACCCACAGCCCACACTTGTCCCTTCTTTCCTGCCCCACAGTGTACGCATAGAACAGTTTGGGTCGGAAAGGACCTTAGGATGATCTCCATGGCCATATCTCCTCCCACCTCCCCACATCACAGAGGCGCATCCCTTCACACCTCCCCACACAGGTCCCATCACCGATGGTGCACCCGTGTCCCGCTGATGCCCTGCGTGGGTCCCCTTCCTGGACAGGACGTGCCCGTCTCCATCCCACAACCTGCCCCCTGGTTTCAATCTTTGCAAGGCAAGCTTTGTTCTGGCATCAGTTCCTCCAACACCCGGATTAGGAGCTCATGGGGAGATGTTTCACCACCGCCTCCTTTAAAACCCTTGACGGCTTTCTTGTGCCAGACCCATCAAGCACAGACTCGGCATGAAGGGCTTGGGCATCCTCAGGTTCCTTTACCCCTTTACCCCAAGACACACCAGGTTTAGCAGCCCCTGCGTGCCAGGCACTGGGAACACCATGGGGTTTCCCACATGTTGGCAGCATCCCCCCAACAGTGGGAATAGGCAGGAATTGCCCCTGACCTCGGTTATCATCAGGCAGCAATTACGGCTACCAGGAAATGCCACCTCCTAAGAGGGTTCCTGGCACTTGGTGTGTCTGGATTTGGCAATCCCTTGGCTCCCTGTTTTGCTGTTGGAAATGATTCAGGAGGCATCGTTGCTCCTCTTTAAGGAGGGGATGTGCTGGCCAGTGGGATGCTGGGGCCACACATCACACCTCCAAGCCAAATTGAACCTCTTCAGGGCACATAGCGGAGTGATGAAGACCATTCCCCATTGGGAAGTAACAGCGTTATCCCATTGGAGACCCTCACCCAGCACCTTCTGTGTGATGCTGAACAATTCCTCTTCCATCGTCTCTGCAAAGACCCCCCCAAAACTCTGCCGGAATGCCCCACGACCTGGGAATGCTGCTGCAGTGCCCCCAGTCCATGGTGCTGCAAATCATGGAATGGTTTGGGTTGGAAGGGAGCTTAAAGCTCATCCAGCTCCAAAGCAGGGACCCCTTCCATTAGAGCAGGTTGCTCCAAGCCCCGTCCAACCTGGCCTTGAACACTGCCAGGGATGGGGCAGCCACAGCTTCTCCCTTCAACCCATTCCAGCGTCCCACCACCCTCCCAGGGAAGAACTTCCTTATATCCAACCTAAATCCCCCGTTTCAGTTTGAACCCATCAGCCCTTCACCTATCACTGTAGTCCCTGAAGAAGGTCCCTCTCTAGCATCCTTGTAGCCCCCTTCAGACACTGGAAGCTGCTCTGAGGTCCCCACGCAGATTCTCTTCTCCAGGCTGAACAATGTTCTCTTTCGGCATCCCCTTGTTTCGGTGCTTCCCCTCCCTCATTGACATGGGGAGCAACCAGTTCCTGGAGCAAGAAATTGCTGCCTGGGCGTGCTGTGTGGCCTTGCACAATTCCCGAGGTTATCACCCCAAAGGGAATGGGAGGGTGTCACAAATCTGAGCTCAGGGAGGGTATAAAAGAGCCCTCCCCTGCACCGTGGCATCACTGCTCCTCCTGCTCCATCCCGTGCAGCACTGCCCGTAGACATCAGCCCCAGGTAAGTAGGTCCGTGCCTATGGCGGCTCCAGTACCCATGCTGCTGGGGGTGCCGCTGGGATGAGTGGGCTCTGATGGGGTTTGATGTTTTGCTGTCTTTCTCTTCCTAGCAAGATGAAAACCGACCTGGAGCTCGCCTTGGAGTGCGCCATCAACATCTACCACCAGTATGCCATCAAGAACCCCATCGATGACTACCTGGACAAGCCGGAGTTCTCCCAGCTGCTGACGGAGACTGCCAAGCCCTTCCTCCAGAACACCAAACCGGTAAGAGCCAAGCACAGGCCAGGCTTCAGGTCTTCAAAGTGGCCTCCTTGGGGCATGGGGGTGGCTGGGAGCTCCCAAAGCTCTTTTGCCCGTAGGGTTTTCCTGACTCTGTCCATGTTTGTCACGCTGCAGCCCAATGTGTCCGTTGATGAGTACATCAGCAACCTCTTTGCCAAAGCAGACCGCAACCGCGACGGTCGCCTCAAGTTCACCGAGTTCCTGACCACGCTGAATCTTGTCGTCATTGATGCCCACAATAGGTCCCATGGGAGACACGACCACCATCACGGTGCCGGCCATGGCCATGACCACGGGCATGATCATGGCCATGACCACGGCCACGGTCCCAGAAAGTGAAGTGCTTCCCATGTCTGAGCCCATGGGATTATGCTTTTCCAGCAGCATTATCCCTTCCATTTGCCCTCCAGCACAGGCAAACCTGTAACCAAAGCTTTATCGTTTGCTTCTACCTATGGCATTGAAATAAAATGTCTTTCTTCAAGCACCAAACGCATCTGTATTATGTGTCTTATCTCCAGGAAGGATGTAACACGTATCAAAGAGTTCAATCTGAGGGGTTTAATGCAGGTTGAACTGAAGAAGCAATGGGAATGGGAAGGGAAGGTGGCCTGGAGGGATCCCAGCCTCCAGGACAACAGCACTGCTGGGTTCCAATGAGCTGCACAGGGTCCCTGTCCTAAAGCATGTCACAACCCCAATGTGTTCCCACTGCCTTTGTGAAGCTCAGCAAGGTCCCTACGCAGAGTGGTTGGCCCCAGCACCCTTAGCCTCAGCGGACAGTGGGGTGCTTAGGACCCCATCACAGTGGAAGCTCCTGCGAGAGAGCATCCTCAGCCTTGGCTCTCCCAGCCCCTCTCTGTTTTAGCTTCAGGGTGTGCCAGGGATGAAGTCCCCAAGTGATTCCCAAGAGCCAGCTCTGGAGCTGGGGGAGCAGCATCCTGGGGGTTCAATGCTTTTGGAACCTGCAGAGCAACCAGAGCTTACTCTGCAAGCCCGGACCGAGCAGAGGACGAGGCTGAGGGGCTCTGGGTTGCTGGGGGTATCCCTGCACCATAAAGCTGGATGCTTCTGTTACCTGACTGTGCATTGAGTGGGAAACCCTTGCGAGGCTCCAACACCTCCAATGTCAGCTGAAAGCAGCAGCTTGTCCCACATGGAACATAGAATCTTAGAATGGGTTGGGTTGGAAAGGACCTTAAGATCATCCAGTTCCAACCCCCCTGCCATGAAGAGAAGCACGGGGGTAGTGTGTGGGTTATTGTGTACTCAATGACACAAGTGATCACTCTCTTGCAGCCCAGAGGTGGATGCTATTCCAGGGCCCCCCGGGTACCCTTCCCCTTCTGGGGCTGGGCATCATGAGCTGCATCCCCTGATGGGTTTTGGGGAACATGGCTGGCAAAGATGGGAATGCGAAGCCCATGGGTCTGTCCATGTGAGGACTCTGCAAGTGCACAGGGCAAAGGCAGGAGGGACTTGCAAAGGGAATGAGGACACAGCTTTGGGTTCCTGGCAGTCCCTAATGAGCAGAAAGCAGTAAAGTGAGTCAAGGCTCCCAGAATAGACCTCATGCAACAGCTCTTGGTACTGGCCGAGACACACAAGAAGCATCCTCAAACAGGAATGGTGACCCTTTTGTTTTGCTGTCCCTACCCTCTTCCTGGCACCTACCACCTTATTCTTACATTGTTTTACAGTTCCTTCATTCTTCTAGTACCTGTTCTGCTAACGCAAGATGGGTGGCAGAGGTGACCATTGCACAACGCTTGCTACTCAATTCTGTAGGCACTGAAGACCCTAAAAGACCTCAGATATTCTTCTTTCTCCCCCAAGTTGCTGGAGCAAGAGGAAAGGTCTGGTCCAAGTGATGTGAAAACAGAAAGCAATGGCAAATACACTGGAAAACAACCCGGTAGATGTTGCCTTTGCCTTTGCTTGTGCCCAACCAATTATTTGTGGTAGAAAACAGAGAGATCAAGTTAAAACCAACCAAGGGACAAAGTCAACCACGTCTCTATGAAACAGTTCATCTACACAGCGCATTGCGGGGCTTGTAAAGCCTTGGACTTGCCCTTTCGGCTCCTGGAGAGGGCACGTCCAGTGTTGCCCCCATTCTTTGCCCAGCACAGGAACAGCTCAGCCCTGTCGGAGGCGATGGTGGGGTGGAAGGAAAACATTTCCCCAGGCTGGTGGGTGCAACCAGGAACAAGGTGCAGAGGTATGAGGTGGGGAAGGGTTCACAAGTTCCCACCTTGCAATTTCCAGGTCCGGGAAATGTTAACTCAAGCTGATGCTTGCCGCAGGTGTGTCACCACCTCTGATGAAAGAGGACCTCAAACAGATATAAAAGGTCTGCAGAGGCTCTCGGATCACTGCGACAGACCCATCCTCTGCAAAGCCTCTTTGGAGATAAGGGTAAGTAACACTGCGGTGGCTCTTGCAGGAAAGAAGGTGAGGGGAGAAGTGATTTGGAGTATGGGATGTCATTCCATGCCTGTTTCAGTCCAGGGTGATGGTTTTTTCGTTGGACAGGGTAGGAGGTTGGTTTTGGCTACAAGATAAGTATAAACGAATGGCATTTCCATGCCACCCTTAGGGGAGGTGTATTTGTCTCCATGGGCAAAGAGATTCAGAGGGAGATGAGGAGGAGATGAGGCTGAGGTTGCAATGGAGCCTGTATCTGAACCACACTCCCTGCCTTAAAGTCATTGTCCCTGCCTGTAGCATGATGAGGATACATGACTGCAGCCTCATGGGTTTGTCTGATGTGCCTGACAAATGCCTTCAGGTTGGGAAGAATGAGCTGCTCCTTGGCTGAACCTAAAAGTAGAGGTGGTTTGGGTGATGCTGTGAAACGGTGATACTCCTAAACCCACTTATTGCCGTGCTCCTGGAGCAGATCCCTTGGGGCACCTGGGGTGCTGGTCAAGGTCATGCCATGGGCTTTTGGATGCATCTCACGGCTTGGGGGTTTCTCCACACAGTTTCTCAGGACCTCAACCATGTCTGTGAGCACCCAGCCTAGGAACACCTCTCCTGAGACTCGGCAGTTCCCTGGAAACTGCTCTTTGGATCAGGCCCTGAAAACCATCGTGGATGTCTACCACCGCTACAGCATCCGGGAGGGCAAGCTCGACCTCCTCAACTTCAATGACTTCAAGACGCTGATGACTGAGCAGACACCGACCTTCCTGCAAGCTTGTGTGAGTGTTCAGGAGCTGTGTTGTGCTCTCCTTGGGTGGCTGCAGTGGGATGAGGCTGAGGTTGCCTCCAAGGATGCTCCCTGGGGAATGGGGTGCAGTTCCCATCACGGCTGTGGTCCACAGACGCAGCTTGTCCATGTGCTGCAGGTGCTCATTCCTCCTGATGCTGTGGGGGTATAGAGCTTGGAAAGAGCTCTATGTCCATCTAGGGCTTTATCTAGGGGCTAAATGCAAGGTAGGAGAGAGTCACAGTGATCCTGCAGCTTTCAGGATCATGGAACAGCAAAGCTGGTTTCCATCAGGGGGATGTGCAGCCCAGGGTGGGGGTATTCTAACACATGTCCTGCTGCCCAATTTCAGAACAGGAACCGTTCTGACTACCTGAATAAGCTCTTCCAAGAGACTGACATAAACAAGGACAAGGACCTGAGCTTCGAGGAGTTCACCATCGTCTTGGCCAAGGTGACCGATGATGCCCACCGCATCATCCACAAGGATGACCGCTGCACACCAGACAAGGATTGAGCCTCCATGAAGACTGGGAGGGGGTGGCTTGTAGGAGTTGGGCTCTTCTTGCTTTCTGTCTGCTTGGATCACTCGTGCTTGTGAGACAATAAAGTATCACTTGGTGTTCATTGAGATCCTAGCTCAGCTCTCCCTTTTGTACCCATCTAATGGGCACCACTGCAGAGAATGCGTGGTCCTGCTGGAGCTAAATACCCACATGAGGTACCCGAAAAGCCCATAAAGGAAGAGGGTGAGACGTGAGTGGGCAGGAACTGTGCTGCTCAGTGTCTGAGCCAAGCTGATGGGCTAGGAAGGTGTTAATGGCCAGAAGAGCAGCATAAGACACTGCCTGAGCTCCACGAGGGTTTTACTCATCACCTGCAACACGAAGGAGGTGTATTAGAGGTTCTCCAGGGAGAGGAAGTGTTGTGCATGGGCTGGGGAGAGCAGAGCCAGCCCAGCTTGAGGAAGCACCTCCTGTTTGCTCTCCTCATGCAGCCTTTTCCCCCTTGGCTGTGCCAAGTGCATTCTCAGGATGCGCAATCGCCTCTGAGCATTAATACCCATGACAACAGGAGTTCACAACAGGGGACAGCCCTTACCACAAGAACAAGCTATTTTATTAGTATCTGTATGCAGAGCTTCTGCTCCATAGGAAATTCCAAGATTTTGGGTTTTCTCCCCCTAAATCCCAATGGAAACTCTCAGAGTTTTCCCACACAGAAAAGTGACCTGGAGTGCTCCCTTCCCAGCCCTGCTCCATCACTTGCTACCCAGCCAAGATGAGATGCCCAATGGGCTCCATCTCACCAAATACCCGATGAGCTCCTGCAGGGCACAAGGATCTTGTCCCTGGATAAGCCACCAGGGAGATGTCTTCCAGCACCAACTGAAACCTTTCTGGGTACTAAATATGGTGTAATCCAGCTCTTCTCCTCAATGAATGCTTGGGTACCACCACCCCAAGGACCAAGGTAGTGCTTGCTGAGCAGTTTGTAGCTGTTTGCTATGGCTGAGACATATACAGATGATTTTTGGCTTGAGATAAAGGCTTGGAAAACCCTTTACCTTGTGGCTCCAGGATGGAGAAAGCTCCTGCAGGGGCTGCATGTGCTGGGTGGCAGCTGGAGCATCGCTGCTCTGATGATGCTCAAAGGAGCTCAGAGTGCATCCCAAGCTTCTCAAGCTAAAACCACATCTAGCAACCAGAACCTGGCCCATTCCTTAAGGTACTTGTCCACATGGATCAGATCCCCTCAGAGCCTTCTCTTCTCCAGGCCAAGCTCCTGCCTTACCATGATCCTGGGCTGAACACAGCAAAGCCCATGGTGACCAACCCTGCCGTGCCCTCTTCCCGCATCAACCAGCCGCTTGCCCGTAAATGGCTCTTTTGAAAGAGTTTTGCAACCAACCAGCTCCTCGGGGCACAACCAATCCCAGTCACCTCCAACCAGCTCTTTCTGTGTCTATCTGGCTGCATCCTGATGTCTGCTTCCTGCTCCTTCCCTTTCCAGCCAGCAAGTGGATGCTTGCCCAGTGCTGTCAGCCTTGGGGCCATTGCTGCATTGCTCACAGGCACAGCTACACAGGGAAGCTCCCCACGCAAGGAGACAGGGCTCCACCATACTCCTGTGACCCTCAGCAATGGCCAGGCTCCATGGTCACCTTAGGCTCTCATCCCTGTTGCCTGGTGGGCACATCCGATGGTCCAGGCACCATCACTCTCTGGAACCCCCTGACCCATCCCACCCCGTAATCTCTCTTTGCTCTCCCTCGCCTCCAGGAGGCTAAAAATGACTCAAAATGCCATTTCCTGAAGTTGCTACAAGAATTCTGCAACCCAGCAGATGGTCCCTGTTGGGAAACACTCCAGCCCTTCTCCAGGGCATCAAAGCACTCCTGTTGTGAAACGTGTACCCCAACCAGTGAGGCTCGGGGGGTCACAAGGATGGACCACTCATAGCTGCGTCCCCCCATCTCCCTGCACAGCGCAGCCCCACATGGAGTTCCCAGAGCTTGTCCATGGCCCTGTTTTCGCCTCCTCTTTGTGTCTGAGATGAGCATCGTGTCTGGCAGGTTAAACAACCCCCCAGGCTGAATCAACAGCAGAGCATTCCAATGTAGGAACACTGGAAAATCCGGTTTTGCTCCCGATTTAGCTGCTTCGTTGCCAGCTGGGGTTAAACCTCAACAAGTGCCTGCCTTGGGTGTCTGCAACACAGGGAAACAACAGGGAAATAAGGTACAAAGTGAGGACTTGGTCTTCAAAGGTAAAAATAGACCTTTGAGCCGCACCTGGTCTGCGCAGCACCGAGCAAAGCACCTTTGGCACTGGCTGCTGCTAAGCTGAGGAGCTGAAACGAAGCTGGGAACCTGCCCTGTGTTATTTGCCTTTCAAAGAGCTGCTTGCTGCAGGCAGGGGATGGTTCCCCAGCACCAGGGCATCGGCCTCAGCACCAGCTCTGTGCCTGTGTCACAACAGCAACGATGTCAATGAAGCACTGAGATGCTTTTGGGTGCACCAGGTCTACAGGGATGGGGATGCGATGGGGCCTAGCAGGGCTGCCTCACTGAGATACTGCCTTGAGACAGCCCCTGCATCCTGCATCCAGCTCTGGAGCAGCAGCACAAGAGGGATGTGGAGCTGATGGAGCATCCCCATCCCTGGCAGTGTTCAAGGCCAGGTTGGATGGGACTTGGAGCAAGCTGCTCTAGTGGAAGGGGTCCCTGCCCATGGCAGGGGTTGGACCTGGATGAGCTTTAAGGTCCTTTCCAACCCAAACTCTTCCATGATGCTTCTTTGTGTCACTTTGGCATCCTCTCTGCTCAGGACCTGCAGGCTCTGTTGGGATGAAAGGGATGTGTGCAGATCCGGGGACAGCTCTGCTATCACAGGAGGACGCTCTGCTTGCTCACAGCCCTGCACTGGTGTCCCAGTGCTGCTGCACCCAGTGTGTGGTGGCTGCTTCCTCTGGCCTGGTGGTCCATCACCCCACTGTGTGACACAACAGGAGTCCTGCACCCTGCTCAAGAGAGCACAAAGTCCATGCTGTGTTGGCAAACATCCTGTTGCATCAACCCCATAAGCTTTGAAACTGGTTCCTGCCTTGCTCCTATGGGCCAGCCCTGTTCCTGGAGGTGATGCTTTTCTGCCCTGGCAGGGTGGTGGCAATGAACCAGCTCCACTCTCTCCCTTGGCTGTGAGGCTCTTACCTGCTTCAGAGCCCCTGAAGTGCTGCAGGATCGGGTGCATCACCCATGTTGAGGTGCAGGATCTGCTTCCAGTAGGGATCTGCCACCCTGGGCAGGCTCAGGCAGAGCTGAGTGGAATCTGAGGGCTGCAGATAGAACCATAGACTGGCTTGGGTTGGAAAGGACCTCAAGGTCATCCAGTTCCAACCCCTGCCACGGGCAGGGACCCCTTTGGCTAGAGCAGGTTGCTCCAAGCCCCATCCAGCCTGGCCTTGAGCACTGCCAGGGATGGGGCAGCCACAGCTTCTCCATTCAACCCATTCCAGTGTCCCACCACCCTCACAGTAAAGGGCATCCTTATCTCCAGCCCAAACTCCCACTGTTTCAGTTTGAACCCATCACCCCTTATCCTACAGCTCCAGCCCCTGCTGAAGAGATCAGAGGTCTGAAGGTGTTTGAGACCTCAAGATGTCAAAACCAACTCCAAAGGAAGCTGAAGCAACCTGGTCGGTGGTGGTGAAGCAAACCTGCGGCTGCCTTGTGTCAACCAAAGGGGTTGCTTCAGGGCTGCTGCTTTGGGGAAGCTCGTGGCAGGTTCCTTCCCAGAGCAGGGCGATTTCAGAGCCTTAGGACATCACCAGTGTTTCTTTTCCCCATCCTCTACAGGAAGCTTGCAAATCAGTACCAGGCTCTAAGCACAGACAGCACGAGGCCCACACTGAAAGCATCTCAATACCAAACTCCTCTGATGGGGATGCTCTGAGTGAGGAGTTGAGGTTGGTCTCAGCTCTTGCCCACAAGGAACTGGACCCTGCTGCTGGCTGCTGCACTAGAACTGAGCACATCCACCCCCAGCTCCCTTCCAGCCTCATGGAAAACATGTGCCCTAAAAAAGGGTGGTCCTCCAGGGAAGAGCATTCTTCCACCCTTCTCCATCCTTCCAGCTCTTTGCAGCTCACTCTTAGGAGATGCACAGGGTGTTTTCAGGCCAAAACAGGCTTGTTTTCCTAGTTGGAAATGGAAAGACCTGTCAATTCATACAGCCTGAGCTTCAGAGCAATAATGTGAGAAACATAGTGAGCAACGAACCCTGCTCTTCCCAGTGTCCACCTACAGCCTGGCTCCAAGGTCCATTGAAAGCCATGCCGGGAGAGAGCAGGGTGCAGGACCTCAAGGAAAACCCATGCAAACGCACACAAGAGCCTCACAAACCTCATCTTTATTTGGCAGCAAAACCATCACACTTGAAGGGGAGGGATGGAGGGAGACGGGAAGGGAAGGATGGATGGGGGGGGAGAAAGCCAGGGGTGACAAGCACCCCTTGGGTGCCTTTGGCCATAGACCACAGCCCACCTCAGTGGTGGTGTTGTTGCTGGTGCTGGTGCTTGTGCTGCTGCTGCTGGTTCTCGACGTCGTGGAGATGCTCATGGGTGGCAATGGTCACACGGGTGATGAGCAGCATCACCTCGCTGAAGCTGAGCTGCGCATCCTTGTTCATATCGAGGTCCTTCATGATCTCGTCAATGGTGGCCTTGCTTTTCACATGCTGCAAAGGAAGGGGTGGGGTGAGGGCAAAGTCCACAGCTCAAGCCTCTTGCTGGGACCCTCATAGGGGTCAGGTCCCCAGGAACCTGGTGCTGAGAGTGGTTCCATCCTGGTGCCATCACCATCACCTGTTGCTTGGGGTACAACAAGAAGGTTGGAGAGCAACAGGGCAACATCAGTGCGAGGATACCGGGCAATGAGGAGCCCTATGAAGGTTATGTCTGCCACAAACCTCCCCTTCAGTTGGCTTAAACCCACTTTGCCTTCTGCTTTAACAAAGA